GTCGTACGAAGCGACATCGGCCTGGCAATGTCACGGAAGGACGTACAGTCTGAATTGCGCAGTGCTCGTCAGCCATCCGGCTGTGGGAACGAAGTCGCAAGGCAGAACGTGGAACCGCCCACGCCAGCGGCCCTGTGAAGGATCAATTTGGAAGAGCACCCGGGCATTAAGTGGCGTCCGCCTCCCAATGTCGCCACCGGGCGCGCAAGCCAAAGCATGGCATATCAATGACCGCGCGCTGCCAACATTGAAAGGCGAATGTCACTTACTGATCCTCTTTGGGCGCTGCCGTGTGCAGATGATTATAGACGATCGTCTTGTCGATCTTGTTATAACTTGTTCCCGGTTGTGTAGGGGCCCCTCGGGGCCGAACACTCGAAATGTCCGCTCGGGTTCCCCGTCTGGAGACCCTCTTGGAGCCGTCGTTGGGCCCTCGCGGGCTGTCTTGGGCGCCTCTTGGGCCGTCTTGGGGACCTCGCCGTCTTGGGCCCCTCTTGGGGGCCTCTGGCGCCGTCTTGGGGCGATCTTTGGGGCCTGTTGAGCCGTCTTGGAGCGTCGGGAAGCCGAGAAGGCGAGAACGCCAAAAACCCTCCAAAAAGCAAATTACCCTGGCGACGTACCCAACCCTTGCGCAATGCGGGGCACAAGTACATCAGGACTGCTACAACGGGGGCGATGACGTAACATGGACGCATGTGATTTTGCAAGCAGCAATCGGAAGGCTCGCAGGCCCCCGTAATAACAAATCACCCCCGTTGGCTGTGCCATGCGCCCGTTGCACCCAACGTATCCCACAGCAGCTCTTGAGAACCGCGCGGGAAACGTGTAGGCGCAACGTAATGACCATCGCCCGGCACATGGTCTGTTTCACAATTCACCCCCGTTGGCTGTGCCATGCGCCCGTTGCGCGTAAGGTATCCAACAGCAGCTCTCCAGAGCCCCCCCAGGGACGGCGAGGTCTCGCTCAGGTCCCCGCGGTGCCTCACTCCGCTGGACCCACCAGCAGCCCTCGAAAGTGGCGACAGTGTCGCAGATCGCAGCCCCCCCAGGGACGGCGAGGTCTCGCTCAGGTCCCCGCGGTGTCTCACTCCGCTGGACCCAGCAGCAGCCCTCGACAGTGGCGATTGTGTCGCAGATCGCAGCCCCCCCAGGGACGAAGAGGTCTCGCTCAGGTCCCCCCAGTGCCTCACTCCGCTGGACCCACCAGCAGCCCTCGACAGTGGCGACAGTGTCGCAGATCGCAGACCCCCCAGGGACGGCGAGGTCTCGCTCAGGTCCCCGCGGTGCCTCACTCCGCTGGACCCACGAGCAGCCTTCGAAAGTGGCGACAGCGTCGCAGATCGCAGCCCCCCCCCAGGGACAGCGAGGTCTCGCTCAGGTCCCCGCGGTGCCTCACTCCGCTGGACCCACCAGCAGCCCTCGAAAGTGGCGACGGTGTCGCAGATCGCAGACCCCCCCAGGGACGGCGAGGTCTCGCTCAGGTCCCCGCGGTGCCTCACTCCGCTGGACCCACCAGCAGCCCTCGAAAGTCGCGATTGTGTCGCAGATCGCAGCCCCCCAGGGACGGCGAGGTCTCGCTCAAGTCCCCGCGGTGCCTTACTCCGCAGGACCCACCAGCAGCCCTCGAAAGTGGCGACAGTGTCGCAGATAGCAGCCCCCCAGGGACGGCGAGGTCTCGCTCAGGTCCCCCCAGTGCCTCACTCCACTGGACTCACCAGCAGCCCTCGAAAGTGGCGACAGTGTCGCAGATCGCAGCCCCCCAGGGACGGCGAGGTCTCGTTCGGGTCCCCGCGGTGCCTCACTCCGCTGGACCCACCAGCAGCCCTCGAAAGTGGCGATTGTCGCAGATCGCAGCCTCCCAGGGACGGCGAGGTCTCGCTCAGGTCCCCGCGGCGCCTCACTCCGCTGGACCCACCAGCAGCCCTCGAAAGTGGCGACAGTGTCGCAGATCGCAGCCCCCCAGGGACGGCGAGGTCTCGCTCAGGTCCCCGCGGTGTCTCACTCCGCAGGACCCACCAGCAGCCCTCGAAAGTCGCGACAGTGTCGCAGATCGCAGCCCCCCAGGGACGGCGAAGTCTCGCTCAGGTCCCCGCGGTGTCTCACTACCAGTAGCCCTCGAAAGTGGCGACAGTGTCGCAGATCGCAGCCCTCAAGGGACGGCGAGGTCTCGCTCGGGTCCCCGCGGTGCCTCACTCCGCAGGACCCACGAGCAGCCCTCGAAAGTGGCGACAGTGTCGCAGATCGCAGCCCCCCAGGGACGGCGAAGTCTCGCTCAGGTCCCCGCGGTGCCTCACTCCGCTGGACCCACCAGCAGCCCTCGACAGTGGCGACAGTGTCGCAGATCGCAGCCCCCCCAGGGACGGCGAGGTCTCGTTCAGGTCCCCGCGGTGCCTCACTCCGCTGGACCCACCAGCAGCCCTCGACAGTGGCGACAGTGTCGCAGATCGCAGCCCCCCCAGGGACGGCGAGGTCTCGCTCAGGTCCCCGCGGTGCCTCACTCCGCTGGACCCACCAGCAGCCCTCGAAAGTGGCGATTGCGTCGCAGATCGCAGCCCCCCAGGGACGGCGAGGTCTCGCTCAAGTCCCCGCGGCGCCTCACTCCGCTGGACCCACCAGCAGCCCTCGAAAGTGGCGACAGTGTCGCAGATCGCAGCCCCCCCCCAGGGACGAAGAGGTCTCGCTCAGATCCCCGCGGTGCCTCACTCCGCTGGACCCACCAGCAGCCCTCGAAAGTGGCGACAGTGTCGCAGATCGCAGCCCCCCAGGGACGGCGAGGTCTCGCTCAGGTCCCCGCGGTGCCTCACTCCGCAGGACCCACCAGCAGCTCTCGAAAGTGGCGACAGTGTCACAAATCGCAGCCCCTTTGCAAGATGCACACACAAGAGGTACCGCAGCCAGGATGCACACACACACACACACACACACACACACACACGCGAGTTAAGCGCAAGGCAAGGGTCTGGAAAAGACCATCAATGATGTTGGTCCTCTTAGGGCCCTCGTGGGAGGTCTCTTGGAAGCCTCTGGGGCGTCTTGGAGGCCTCTTCGGCCGTCTGGAGGTCATCTTGGGCGTCTTGGGGCGACCCTTCGGCGACTCGGGGCCCACTTGGGCGGTCTTGGAAGCCTCTTCGGGCTCTCTTGGCCCGCCTCAGGGCCATCCGGGGCCCGAAGACAGTCGCGCGACGAGATGCCAGGAACCCCAGGGGGGGCACGCGGCAAGCCCAGGAAGATTTGGCAATTTGGGGCCCGGGCCCCTCAAGACTTCATCCAGAGGACTGAGGACTACAGGAAGGGACCTGAAGACACGCATCTCCGCGCCTAAAGGCACGGTGGCGGCTTCTCAAGGGGCCCCGACGCCAAATTGCTAAATCTTCTCGTACTATCCGCGTGCCCCCCCTGGTATTCCCGGCATCTCGTCGCGCGACTGTTTCGGGCCCCAGAGGGCCTCAAGTCGGGCCACGAGGGCCCCAAGAGGCCCCCAAGACTGCCCACGAGTGCCCGAATCGCCTAAAGATCGCCCCAAGATGCCCAAGATGGCCTCCAGACGGCCAACAGGCCTCCAGAACGTCCCAGAGGCCTCTAAGAGGCCTCCCAAGAGGGCCCCAAAAGGCAAAAATCCTAGTTTTTCCCTTGTTGTTTGAAAATGTTCGGCGTTCTCGCCTTTTCGGCTTCCCGACGCTCCAAAACGGCCCAACAGGCCCCAAAGATCGCCCCAAAAGAGCACCAGAGGCCCCCAAGAGGGCCCAGGCGGCCCAAGAAGGCCCCAAGACGGTCCAAGAGGCGCCCAAGACGGCCCAAAAGGGCCCAAAGACGGTTCCAAGAGGGAGCCCAAATGGGGAGCCCGAACGGACATTTCAATCCTCGGCCCCAAGGGGCCCCCAGGAGGCCCCAAGCGGCCAACAAGAGGCCCCCAAAAGGTCGCCAGAGGCCCACAAGAGGCCCCAAAAGGCCCCCAAGAGGCCCCCAAGAGACTCCCAAGGGGCTCCAAAACTGCCCCAAAGAAACCCCCGAGAGCGCTCCGAAGAGACACCAAGAAGCATCCCTGAGAACGCTGACCCACAACACAAGCACCATGGCGGGATGGACCCAAGGCCACAATTTACATATACATGCATATACATATACATAAATGGATGTCCACAAGTCGATGTTATACATACATACATGCATGCATACATACATACAGACAGACAGAAAGACAAGCAAACATACGAGCATGCATGCGTACATGCATGCAGGCAAGCAAATATGTATATATATATATATATATATATATATATATTATATATATATATATATATATATTGTGTGTGGTACAAACATGCATATTTGCATACGAGCATACATGTACGCATTGATACATGCATGCACCCAGACACCATACAAACATGTAAGCATGTATATATGTATACATATATGTGTATATATACACATATACATACATACCTACATACATACATACATACATACATACATGCAGGCATGCATGCATGCTTGCATGTGTACACACGTACATTCGTACAAACATATATGCGTGCATGCATACCTATACACATACCCACGTTCTGGTATACATACACACCCGCATATGTACAGACATGCATACATACACGCATGCATACATGCATACATGCTCACCGACTTGCCGATCAATCGACCTGCATGCATACATGGGTACCCACGAACCGACATGCAAACATACATGCATACATACATGCAAACGTACACACATACGTACATACATGCATGCAAGCATGCATTCATGCATGCATGCATGTGCACATCCGTACATACAAACATACCGACATAGAAATGTGCGTACAACAATACAGACAGCCTGAACGACTTACATCTATACACGCATGCATGCACGCATGCATGCATGCATGCATGCTTACATACGTACATCAACATGTACATCAATTCGACTCCCCGCCCCACTCCCTTTCCTCATTCCGTCCTCCCTTTCCTTCGCTTGCTCGACGACCGAGCCCGCGCGCCTGTCCATCCAGGCCTGGTAGAATTTCCGGGAGCCTCGCACGCGTCTCCGGCGGCCCACCCCACATCGCAAGGGGGGGGGCCAGGGAAAGAAGCCAAGGGGGAGACGAGGGACAGATCAAGGCAGGCGGCGGAGGGAATGGGAGAGAAAGGGGGGGAGGGAGGTGCGAGGCGCAGGGAGGCAACGAAAGAAAAGGGGGCGGGGGAAGCGGGGCGGGGAAATGACGGGACGGGGCGGGGAAAACCGGGGAAAAGGGAGGGAGCGCGGCTCGTGGTAGGCAGACAGAAAGACAAGCAGACAGACCGACAGACCGACCAACGGATGGACGGACTGACACACGGAAGGACTGGTGGAGGAGGAGGAGGACGAGGACGAGGACGAGGAGAGGAGGAGGAAGAAAAGGAGGAGTCCATCAGCGCGCGAAGCTTGGCTGGGGGTCGGCGCAATCCATCGACGCTCGGCGCCAATCCCTGGAGACGACCTTCGCCTGGCGCCCATGCCACCAAGCAGTGGCCATCCATGGGAGGAAGGGGTCGCGGCGGCCAGGGCCTCTAGACTCCGCCACCTGGGAGCGCCGCGACGACCACGAGGTCGGCGCAACGGCGTTTCTCGGGCCCGCCTGCCGCCGCCCCGCGCATGGGCCCGCTGCAGCTTCAGGCGCAGGTACGCGCCAGACCAAAACGCCCGGCCGAGGTGCCCACCATCGAGCGGGCAGCGCCCCCGCCCGCTGCCCAGCCAGCGTTCCCAGCCAGCGTTGCCAGCCGCCGTCGCGGCGGCCGCGAACCTCGCGGCGCGCAGCGTCGTCGGCTGGTCTGGCCGCCAGCGGGCGCAGCGTCAGTGGGCGCCGAGCCACGGCGGCTGGCTGCCCGCCGCTTGCAGGCGATGTGGCCGCCACGCCAGCACCGCCGCCTGGCTCCGCGCCGTCGCCTCTCGCCTCGCCCGCGGGCCCCCCGCCGCCTAGCGCAGGCCAGCCGTCTGGCGGAGCTGGCGCGACGTGGCCGCTTGCAGACCGCAACTCAGGACCTTGTAGGCCCACGCCAGCTCCCGCGGCGGCTAGCACTCAGGCAAGCGTCTCACCTGCCCGAGCAGCCAGGGGCGGGCTTCGGCGCCGAGCCGCCCCCCCGCCTCGAGGACAAAGGGCGCCAGCCGGGCGCCCGGATAATTAGCGGGCGTGCTTCTCCCGCTCGCAGCGCCCGTTGGCCTCGCCGCCCCGGCGCGCAGCCACGCGCAGCTCGGCCTGAGCGCCGGCTGCGGGGCGTGGCGGACAGAGATGTCAACGGGCCCCTTCGTCTTCTTGGCACTCCAGCTCCAGAGTGGCGCTCTCGAGCTGGGCGCCCGGGCGCTAGCGGCCCCAAATCGGCAACTTTTGCCCGAGGACAAGCCGCTCGCCGCGCCAGCGGTGGAGGAGCTCGGCGACTCCAGGTGAGTGGGCTGTGGCGCGCCAGCACTTTACCGCCCAGCTGGCAAATCGGGGCGTGGTAGCCGCGCGCGTCCAGCCCCAGCGCAGCCAGCTCGGTCGGCGCGCCGCGCAAGCAGCTAGCGGCCCCCGCCCCCGAGCTCCTGCTGGCTGAGCTCCGCGCGCCGAAGGTGCAGCCGCCCCGGGTCAGTCAGGTAGGCGCCGCTTCCGCTGCCGGCCGCGCCCGCAGCTCGGCCTGCCCAGACACATGCAAGCGTCGCAGCAGAGCTGCGCGTTGGTTCCTTTCTGCACTTTCTCCATAGCTAGACCTTGCTTCAAGGGCGTCTGCAGCGCAATCGCCAGGTCCCCGCCCGCGGCGAACTCCAGCCCTTGGTCTTGCAGACCGCGTCGCGCAGTGTCCGGCTGCTGGACCGCCCGCGGCAGCCGTTCCAAGCAATCTGCCAGCGTCCCACTGCCTTGGTTTTCCATGACGTCCTCCGCCTCCAGCATCCACGAGGCCAGGAAAGCAGCGTGGCGCGCCCAGGCCTCCGAAGCAGGCCCAGCAGCTCCTTGGCTGCGTCGCCGAGGTCCCGCCCAAGCAGGGCCCGCCAGCAGCCCGCGAGCAGGTGGTCGCACCGTTGCGCCACGGCGCCCGTGGCAAGCTCCATTTGCAAGGAGTGTTGGTTTGCCGGGCCCGAGTAGGCGCGGAAGAGGGCTGCCGCCGCGTGTTTTTCGAGCCCTGCAATGTGCAGTTTCTTCAGCTCCTGGTAGACCGTCTGCAGCTTCCTCCATGTTTCGGCGAGGCTGTTCGCCCACCCCCAAGGGCGGGCGGCTGGCGCGCTGCTGTCGCCGTCGCCCGGCGGTCGCAGGTGCTTGCCGAGCACAGGCAAGCTGGACGGACGGACGGACGGACAGACGGACGGACGGACGAGCAGGCAGACAGCCAGACACGCGACACGAACCTCGCCCCTCCCCCACCCCAAGCAGGCGAGCGAGAGAGCGCCAAGAGGTGGAGAACGAGCTGGCGGCGCGCGCAGTGGGATGGGGCGAGGGGGGGGCACCTCGGGAGGGCAGGGGGCTCCCTCGCAGAAATCGGGCGGCGCTGCCCCTGAGAAGCCCCCTGCCCTCTTGGAAGGCCGCCCCCCTCGCCCTCCCCCTTCGGCGGCACCCCACAGGGTGACGGGACCTTCGCATGTCCTCGGCCTTCTGGCTTGGCCAAGGCTGCGTACACACCGCTCCTGGGCCCAGAATGGCCCAGGCCAGGGGCAGTGGATACTTATAGATCCCGTCGCCGACGGGATCCTCCCATACCATCTTGTTGGCTGACGCTGATCGACGCTGCGCTAAAGCAACACTCATTCGACGCCACTCGGCGCCAAATCGGCACCATCTCATCGATCACTGGACGCCAGTCGAGGCAATTACGAGGGTACACAAGGCTCCCCGCGGCGAGCGAAGGGGGGGGAAATGGGAAGGAGAAGACCTGCTCGAAGGCCACGGGACTTCTCAGAAGCCCTCGTGCCTTCTGAGAGGCTTTTGCTGTGTCCTCGGGGAAAGCTTAGAAGACTTCTCTCAGAAGGCCGGGAAACTTCCGAGCCTTCTCACGCCCCTTCTCACTTCCCCCCTGGGCGCGCCGCCTCATGATTTGCTGCCGAACTCTCCCCGCGTGCACGCCGCGGTCGGGCATGCCGCCGACCAGGGGCAGCGAGGACCCAGGCCAGCCACGGGCCGCGCCGCGAGCCCAGGCTTCGGCGGTGGACAAACCTCCCTTTAGTCAACCTCCCGTCAGTGAAAACGGCCTGGGACCGAAACCGACGGACCTGGACCCGCAAAAATGACGGCCGCGACGCCCTCTCGCGAACCGAAAACGGCCAATTCCTTAGTCGACGCGTGTCGGGGCAGGAGGTCCGTCCACCCCCGAGGCATGCCGCCGACCAGGGGCAGCGATGACCCGGGCCAGCCACGGGACGTGCCGCGAGCCTGGGCTGGCTCGCGAAGCAGCTCCCAGGCCTGGCTCCGCGGAGGGAGGGCACGGGGGCCAAGCTCCGCGCGGCTCCGCGACCCAGACCAGCCAGAGGGGATCGGGAGGGGATCGGCGAACCCCCGTTGGCACCGCCTCCCGCCATCGCGCCGCCCGCCCTGCGCGACGGGCCGAGCCGCGCGGTGCCTGGCCGTGCCCAGGCCGCGTCGCGCTGTGCCGCGTGGCGCTGTGCCGCATGCGCCGCGGGCCGAGGGGGGCGGGGGGGCCGGCCTTCCAGGCTCATGGGGCCGTGCTCCGGCACCCTCCGGCGGGCGGGGGCTCGGGGAGGCGAGGCGGGAGCGGGAAGGCGATGGGTCGGGTCCGCGGCGGGCTCGGGGCGGGCCGGCGGGAGGGGCAGCAGCAGCAGCAGCAGCAGGAGGCGGGCCACCCAAGGACGGGGCGGGAGGAGGCGGGAAAGGGGAGGGGGCGGGGAGGGGAGGGGGCGGGGAGGGTAGGGGCCGAGGAGGAGGACGGAGAAGGCAGGAGGAGCGGAAGGAGGGGGAGGAGGGCGAGGAGGGCGATGAGGAGGCATGCCAGGCACAAGAGAGGCGATGGACGCCAGCGTCGCGCGCCGCTCCCACAAGAGATCCGCGGCCGCGCGCTGTGGCGACAGCCATCGAACGGCAATTCGGAGGGATGGCTCAACAGGGGGAGGGAAGAGGGGAGGGGGAGGACGGGGGGCTGAAGGAAGCAAAAAGCGAAAGCAGGAGGCAGCACGAGGAGATAGGACGGTGCAGGAGAGCAACGGGGAGAGAAAAGGGCGCAGGACGAGGAGGCGGCGAGGAGGAAGGACGGAAGGAGGATACATAAGTCGTGCGGGAGAAAACGAAGGAGGATGAGGAAGAGGACGATAGGGGGAAAGAAAAAGAGAGAGAGAGAGAGAGAAAAAAAAAAAAAAACAACAAAAAAAAAAACAAACAAAAAAAATGAGGAGGAGGAGGAGGGAGAGAGGAGAGGAGCTACATGCAAGCTAGGCGCGCTCGCCCCATATCGGACATCCCGCCCCTCCCACTTGTCCACTATCAATGCACAGAATATGATTGCATATATATATATATATATATATATATGTAAAAAGCACATACATACACATACACGTATACAAATACAGCTACCGATACAGTTTCATGTATACAGATGCATACGTAAAGATGTACGCATACAACTAAATGTGCATACACATAAGACTGTACAAGGCATATACATTTACCTGTACACATCCGTGTACATACACATATACAGGCCCATGTGCATGTACATTTACATATACATATACGCAGAAAATTACGCAGAAATGGGCGTATACACAAACGTATACTTATGCGTACGTTTATGTGTACATGTACATGCACGCATGCAAAAATTATCCTGGCGAAGGACCCAACCATATGCAGTTGTGAGTATCGCAATTGTGAGTATCTTCTTCGGTGGCGCTCCCTATGGGGCCACGAACCGCATGAGGGGTGTGCCGAAATGTGGCGGGGTACACAACGCAAAGGAATACGATAGATCTGATTACGAGAGAAAGAACGCGGGTGAGTCAGAGCGCGAGGGAATCTGAGTATGAATGGGTCTGCGCGCGAGTGAATATATTTGCATGAATGCGATCATGGAACCGCCTAGTGTAAGTGTCGAGCATGCCTGTCCGAACACACGTGACACTGGGCGTGGCCGCCGCAGGCAGCTTCCGCGGGAACCCCGACGGCAGCGTCCGCACGTCGCGACGCCCATGTCGGCACGCCTCTTGCGAGGATCGCGCCCGCTTTCGGCTCTTCTTTTCCTTCCTCTTTGCCCGCGCACTCCAAAATCCAAGGCTGCGGGCGCAGCGCAGCGCGGAGTCCCCGCGACGCGCGCTGGTCGCCCCGGGCGGGGTCCCAGCGACGCGCGCGGGTCGTCCGCTGCGCGAAGCAGAGAGAGCTGACTAGCTAACTGGCTGGCTGATAGCGGGCAAGTCTCTGACCGCTGGGCAGAGCGACGACGGGCGAACGAGGCGCCGGGCCCCCCGCAGCACGGAGTTCCCGCGACGCGCGCTGGTCGCCCCGAGAGGGTCCCAGCGACGCGCGCGGGTCGTCCGCGGCGCGAGGCCAAACAATTAGTCGGGCAGTCGAGAGAAGGCGCGGCTCGGGGGAGACGCTCCTCAGGTCAGGCCTCGCGGATGAACTCGGTGAAGCCGAGCTCCCTGGCGAGGGCCGTCGCTTCCCTCCTGCACCGCTTCGTGCGCGCCGCAAACTGCTCCAGCTGCTTCCGCAAGCCCTGCGGCGGCCCTGCCAGGAAGAACTCGATGCGCGGCGCCCGCATGAGCAGGAGGTCCTCGTGGCGCGTGGCGCGCGAGAGCAGCACGTAGAGCTCCAGCCACCAGTCGTCGTCCTCCTTCTTGCCGTTCCCTACCTCGTGGCGGCCGCAATCCAGGATCACGCCTGGGCGACGTCGACCGAGGGAGCAGCGCGCCGGGCAGCCGACGGCCCAGGGCGAGAGTCCACAGGACCGAGAGATGGTCTGGCCGCGGACTGCTCGCGCCCCGGAGGTCTGGCCGCCCCCGGAGCGCCGTTCCCCCGCCCCGTCGCCTTCGCGCATGGTGCGCCCCTGGCACGCCACCGTGGTGATGACCCTGCCGTGCGAGAAATGCGGGGGGTGTGCCGAAATGGGTGGGGGTGACGCATGCGGGCGGCGGCACTGAGGCCTTCGGTGGAGCTCCCTATGGAGCCACGAAACGTGTGAGGGGTGTGCCGAAATGGGTGTGGGGGACGCATGCGGCCGCGGGCACTGGGGCCTTCGGTGGAGCTCCCTATGGAGCCACGAAACGTGTGAGGGGTGTGCCGAAATGGGTGTGGGGGACGCATGCGGCCGCGGGCACTGGGGCCTTCGGTGGAGCTCCCTATGGAGCCACGAAACGTGTGAGGGGTGTGCCGAAATGGGTGTGGGGGACGCATGCGGCCGCGGGCACTGGGGCCTTCGGTGGAGCTCCCTATGGAGCCACGAAACGTGTGAGGGGTGTGCCGAAATGGGTGTGGGGGACGCATGCGGCCGCGGGCACTGGGGCCTTCGGTGGAGCTCCCTATGGAGCCACGAAACGTGTGAGGGGTGTGCCGAAATGGGTGTGGGGGACGCATGCGGCCGCGGGCACTGGGGCCTTCGGTGGAGCTCCCTATGGAGCCACGAAACGTGTGAGGGGTGTGCCGAAATGGGTGTGGGGGACGCATGCGGCCGCGGGCACTGGGGCCTTCGGTGGAGCTCCCTATGGAGCCACGAAACGTGTGAGGGGTGTGCCGAAATGGGTGTGGGGGACGCATGCGGCCGCGGGCACTGGGGCCTTCGGTGGAGCTCCCTATGGAGCCACGAAACGTGTGAGGGGTGTGCCGAAATGGGTGTGGGGGACGCATGCGGCCGCGGGCACTGGGGCCTTCGGTGGAGCTCCCTATGGAGCCACGAAACGTGTGAGGGGTGTGCCGAAATGGGTGTGGGGGACGCATGCGGCCGCGGGCACTGGGGCCTTCGGTGGAGCTAATCACCAAAACGTGTGAGGGGTGTGCCGAAATGGGTGTGGGGGACGCATGCGGCCGCGGGCACTGGGGCCTTCGGTGGAGCTCCCTATGGAGCCACGAAACGTGTGAGGGGTGTGCCGAAATGGGTGTGGGGGACGCATGCGGCCGCGGGCACTGGGGCCTTCGGTGGAGCTCCCTATGGAGCCACGAAACGTGTGAGGGGTGTGCCGAAATGGGTGTGAGGGACGCATGCGGCCGCGGGGAGGCAACGGGAGGAAGGAAGGAGGGAGAACGCGGGGCACCGTCTCTTCAAAACGAGGACCCAACACCACAGGATGGTTGGGAAAAAACATACATGTATATAAATACATACGAGTACGCTAATATACATATGGGCACATATATATACACACACACATACATATATATATATATATCACTAACATACATAAAGTTACACATATACGAAGGCAAGGAGCTATACATATGTATATATATACACAAATGCATCCACATCTACATATGCGCATGCATTAACATATGCATATACATAAACACACACGCGCAAAAAAAAATCAATATACATACACATATGCATATACACATTCAGATCCGCATGTATGTGCGTATGTATAAATATATGTATGTGATTGCATACATATGTGTATATATAGATATATGTACATACACAAATACATATACATACACATATACATGCACACAAACATATACACATTCATGTGCGTATACATGTGCGTGCGCATATGCATACACATCTCCATATCCCATGACATATACCTACATTCTGGTATACATATATACATATGCGGAATGCACATATACATACACATACCTATGTATATACATGTGCGAACACATGTGCATACATGTACATACGTACAAATGCAAAGTTTTACCTACATACATATGTAGATGCATACACATGTACGTATACTTGTACAAATCGGTATTCACATACGCATACACATTCGTATTCACGTAGATATACATAGACATGGACATTGACTTACACATGTACATATACATCCCCTTACACCTTACAAGTACACAGGTATACACATACCGAAGCAGCCGACAAACATAGAGCTGCACCTGCGCATGTACATATACATAAATGTATGTAGACGATACACGTTTCCATAGGCACATACATGTACATACACATACACCCATACATGTGTATATATACACTCCCATATATATACCTAAACCTATGTAAATATATATAAATACATATATACATATATACATATACATATACTTATACATATACATACACGTATACCTACACATATACATAACTGTACATATGCATGTACATATGAGTATACACAAAGTTGACTAGACATGAACGTATACATAAACATGAAACTACACATATATACGTACAAATCCACCTACACCTACACCTAAACGTATACATACACATATACATGTACATTATATACAAATGCATACACACACATAAACATAGATATATGCATGCATGTAAAATTACATATATAGATACATACATGTACCCACCGACAGGTGACACCCACAATGACCCCGCATTGTGATGCGCAATCGGAGGAGGGAGCTGTGTTCATTGGAAGGGGAGGAAGAGGGGGAGGAGGAAAAGGAGACGGAGGTGGCGGATAAGCAGGACGATGCGCAGGAGGACGAGGAAGGAGGAGCCCGCCTCTGCCCGAGGCGCTGGCACACGACCGACTTAGGGCGAGGAAAAAAAACACAAGAGAAGAGAAACAGGTGGCAAAAAGAAGACAAAGAGAAAAA